TTACTTGCTTCAGTGGATGGATATTACGTGTTTGAGTGGATGGATATTATATGTTTGAGTGGATGGATATTACATTTTTGAGTGGATGGATATTACGTGTTTAAGTGATGGATATTATATGTTTGAGTGGATGGATATTACGTGTTTGAGTGGATGGACAATAGGTGATTTAAAGGATGGATATTACATATTAGAGTGTATTAACCGAATTTTCAACGGCTTCATTTATAAGAATTTAAATAATTTATCTAAAAATAGCTTTAAGATATTCCTGGAAATACTTCCGTGTGTTCAGGGTTTCTTTCAGCCATCTCTCTGAGGGGCACTGCCCCCCCCCCCCAACCCGGGGAAAGTCAAGAGCCCCTCCGGAGCAAAATGTGTAAAATAATATAACGATTATATCCTTTTTTAAATTGAAAACTACTAAATTGTTACTTTTGAACAGTTTTAAAAATAATAGTATCTGGTGCCTTTAACCGATTACAGCCCGTTGAATTGATCACATATCCCTACGTTTGATATATGTGATGATCCGTATGTTTAAGACTAATCTTGTCAAAGGCTTACAGTATTCGATTAAAAATGTCGTACTGGCCGCTCCTGGTTATAAGCCGAAGGCTTACTTCCCGTTTACTTTCCTGCACCTTTAAAATCTTAAGACTTTAACAACACTGTGTTAAACTACCTCAACATCAATATCAAGGTCTACACGTCAAATAAAGTTCAAATAAGTATCAAATATACACAATCTATTTTCAAATTATATTTCATTATAAAACCATACATTTTAAAGTAGGGATAGGTGTTAATTTGATTAAAAATGATATTTGAAAAAAATATTTTATTATCATTATTATAAATGTACTCGTTTCCAAGAATGTTGAGTTATATAAAATGGAAAATTAAAAAAAAAATTGAGATATTTTTTAAATTAAGTTTTAACGATCGCAGACAAACAGTGAACATTGAACGTTCGCAGACAAACAGTGAACATTGAACGTTCGCAGACAAACAGTGCACATTGAACGTTCGCAGACAAACAGTGAACATTGAACGTTCGCAGACAAACAGTGCACATTGAACGTTCGTAGACAAACAGTGCACATTGAACGTTCGCAGACAAACAGTGCACATGTCATCAATTACTATATCGAAAGCGTTTGTGTTTTCTTTAAATGTGTTCATTTTGTTAAAAAGTTTCCTGAACAACAGATGTTTCAAAAAAAAAATTAACCTATTTTAAAAAAAATTAAATTCCCAACTGCTTATGGGTTGTTAGTATCAGAATAATAAACAATCAGTCCCATCTAGCAGCAAGGGACGTCATTTGGGTAGGACAGGGTGGAGCATTGGGAAATGTATACTTTATTTTGTAAACACCTAATGTGTTCTGTACATAATAATGCCATTCATATCCGATTAATTAATGATATCCCATAAAAATGTATAGCTCTTTCTACTCAACAGTTTATTTTTTATTTTTGACGCTTCATTTAAACTTGGAAGGTTATTATTACACGTAGGTTGATTATTTTATGTATTTTATTTTCATTTGTGTACAACATGTGAAATGATGTTAGCAGTGCTTTTTTTGTGTGATGGAAACCTGTTTTCTTCTCAAAATTCATTTATTAATTATTTAGCTAAGACCAAGAAAGCTTTAAATAAAAATGAAATCCACATTCATATTTAGTAATATAAAAAATATTTGCATATCACAAGCACGGCAAGCAGAGCTGTCGCTAGACTTTTTGATTTCCTCTCTTGCTCCTTTTTGCTTTTTTCCTCCCCAGCTTGCATTAAACGTGATAAGTAAGAAAATATTCACATCCCATCAATAAGCCCCTTAAAATATCCGAGGCTCCCTGCAGTCTTAGGGGATGCTGTGCGCACACGATAATTCCAAGGTTAAGTGACACCTATATTTTGCTCTCCAAGTGTAGAATGCTGCAAAACTAAATTAAAGTATTTGTTAAAATGCAGTCTTCTATAATGAAATTGTGAAAAAAATATCTGGGGTCTAAAACGATTTAATAGGTGATATTAAGCTAGGGGAAATTGCATAACCTCAAGGTCACCACAACTGGAATGAATTTGTTCACGTCCCCCAGGTGCAGCGTTAAAGATTTCTTTGACTGTATATGGCTGATTTTGGCACTTCCCACACGAAAGTTTGAAATGTCACCTCAAAATTGTCTGAACGAAACATCGAATTCAAGTAAGTGCCAAAATGCACCCCTGCATATTAAATTTGCGCGACTGTCTTCAGCAACCCCAATTTCTGCACATCTTCCCTCACGCTTATCGATGTTAAATTATGAGGTTGAAAATAATCTTGTGCCAAAAGATTACCCTTTTGCACGCCACAACTAAAGTGAATTCAGTTTATGTATGTCCCTGGCACCATAATGCCTTCTTAGACCCTTAAAAATGTCCTTTCTCTGATCAACAATTCTAATAGAAACATTGAATTCGACTATACTCTAAAATGCGCCACTTGATTATTTTGAAATAATAAAAACAAATTCTTTAAATAAAGGCTTCCCAGAACCCTCATCTCGCTGAAGATTCATCTTACTTTCTTACATACTTAGGCCTTTTACCCCGGCGTGAGCCTAGGGCATCTACAAGATGTTTCCATTCATCTCTGTCCTGTATGTTCCTCTTCAGTTGCTTCCACGTGTATCCCATACTTTGTGTGTCTTCCTCTAGCTCGCATCTCCGTGTATTTTTGGGGCTTCCTCTCTTTCCTTTTCCCTGTGAATTCCATGTTAGGGATGGTCTGGTGATGTTATCTGGGGGTTTGATTAGAGTGTGCACTATCCACCTCCATCTTTAAATGTACTTACGTTGTGTCTAGACCGGATTAATCGCGGTGCAAGTGTGCAAGTGGTGCGCATGCACTAGGCCCTCTCTGAATTTTAAGGCCTTAAATAACATGATATCAAATGAAAACAAACTACAATATTAAGTTATGCCATTATTTTGAATCAAAAAAACGAAAAAGTTCACATTAACTCATAGGTATAAAAAAAATGGACTGAAACAAAGTGATGGTGGATTTAAAAAAAAAAAAAAAAGAAAAAATTCCAATTAAATCAAAGGTAAAAAAAAAATGGACTGAAAAAAAGTGATGGTGGATTTAAAAAAAAAAAAAAAAAAAAGAAAATGATAGTCACCTTTTTTGCCAGAAGTGACGTACTTCATCTTACCCCGTTAAAGCGGTAGTTATGGTTTGACTGACACGTGATACTAGTAACTAATTCTTACATATACTTGTTAGTTTCTTTGGTTGTTATTTAAAAATACAATTTCGTTTTTTTTTTTTTTTAAATTGGTTATAAAAAAAAAAAAAAAAAAAAAAAAAAAGCAAACAAAATTCCGTATATGCTTTGTGAACCGGAAAACCTGGAAATGAGAAAGCGCTTAATATCCTTAGTTTTTTTAAAAAGACTTTCGGACATTGTTTGTGATTTCCCATGGTCGCATGGAGAGAATCATGAGCAAGATGATCAAAGTAACCTTGTTGTGTACATTAGTGAGTTGCGTCTTTTAAGCAAAGGCTTTTTTTTGTATGACAGAGTTTGTTTTTCGTTCTTTCAATACTTGTGTTTTCTAACGTGTTCGCGCTCTTCAGCTGTGCACCGTCCTCTGGTAACCTGTTTTGTAAAATAATTATATTCCTTTTATAAAGTGCAGTGTTAAGGCATGGGCACACTGGGGATTTGTCCCGGGCCTCAGGCTTCCACGGGGTCTCACACTTCCAGGGGGCCTCACTCTTCAAGCGGGCCTCACCCTTCCAGGGCCCATCATGCTTCTAGGATGACTCACGTTCCAGTGGGGCCTCACGCTTCCAGAAGGTCTCACTCTTCCAGGGGGTCTCACACTTCCAGGGGGCCTCACTCTTCCAGGGGCCCTCACGCTTCTAGTGAGACTCACCCTTGAAATATCTTTTTGGCTATTAATTGCTTATTCATTTTCTTTCAAAAGTTTTTCCCAAGTTGCTTCCAACCAGGTCAAGAGACACTTAAAATTTCACTAGCGTCTCTTCTGTTGCTCGCTAAATAAATGTAGAACGATGCCAAACTAAATTCAGGTAAGCGTCAGAATGCATCCTCGCATTTAGAAATTATCAAATGTTTTCTGGGAAGGGGTACACTGCCCCCCCTCTCTCTCTCTCTCCCCCAAAACTCTAATTCCTGTTTCGTTCTAGAACCTTCGGTGCCCTCAATTCCTGTCCCCTCTTCAATCACAAGTGACAGTAGCGTCACCATCCTCAACAGAAGCAATTGATGTTTAGTCCAATAGAAGTTTTAAACATCCCATTAGAATTAGACATCACAATTATTGCATACCGCAATGGGAACATTTGCATATCGTAATATGTAAACCAGTGGCGTCACTAAGGGGATGAGGACCACACCAGGTGAACCCCTCACAAGTTATTTGAAAGTTTGCACCGTAAAAGTAGCGTTTTTAATGTTGATATTAATTTTCGATAAAAAATAACTTTGATGCAATTTGGGGGGAAAAAACACTGTTATTTGAAATGCTTTGTCTTCTTCTATGTTTTGTTTCTTAAGGAACTGATTTACAAACAAAATTATAAGCTATTCTGTATGTTCTGTTTAAGATTTACATGGTGAAGATCCCGAGGTAGGGGGCTCCGAAAAAGGGGGATTGACACCATCATTTTAACATACCTGGGAAACAACAACCATAGAGACGCCTTTGAGGAACTTTAAATAAATGGAAATAAATTCTAGAAGTTTTTAGTGTTAAAAAACAATCAGTTCATTAATATAGCGCAAAATAATTTAGAATATTAACGATATAGATGCATGCATTTATAAACTAGACATTGAAATTTGTTAAGCTGCTACTTTTGGTTACAATGACCAAATAGAAAATTTAGCTTGCTATATTAGGAAACCAATAGAATCCAAGACACAAGACTTGTAGCTAACAGAGAGAAAATATTGATGACAAGAAAGACTTTGTTTAGTATGTAAGCTCTTGACATTGTCTTTGGTTTGTCTGCTTGGTCTTGACTCGGCGGATTGATTTTAGCAGTGAACTTTGAGCACATTTTCCACAATGCTCCATGTCCAAGCAGGAAGTTCACGAGCCTCTTTTTGGAGGGAGTCGTCTGCTCTGTGAAGTGAACGACCTCAGAAGTTGTTATGTCTTTGTTGATGTGACGCGGACTGTGAGGACGCTCGTCCAAGATGTTCACGATGAGAACAATGGCGTTGAAAACCACGCTCAGGAAAGACTGGATGAAAAGTAAGGTCATGTAGATCACTGAAAATATCGTGGAACAAATATATAGACAGGTAATTGTCTATGTCGTCACTACAGTTCTGTTCAATATTCAACACATTAAAAGTTTACTGAAAGGTTTGCCAAGACTAAACAGGATATCTACAACAAATGATCAAAATCTGTCGCGATGAAGAAATATCACTTTGTATAGTGTAAAAACGAAACAAAATAAATATAAACAAAAACAATTTGAAAACCAAAAGCTTGTGGAGTGTTCAAAGATCATAAGTACAGAAGTAAGTTTTTTTTTACACTTGATTCCTATAATACACTTTAGTTAGATATAACATATTAATCTTACTAGTTTTACGTTACCTAAAATGGAAACATGCTCTGAATTCTGTGGTATTCTGCCAGAAATAAAGTCCATGATGACAGTAAAGGATAGCAGGACTGTTATGGCTACCATCAACTTCTCTGGTTCGGACGGTGATAAGAGGTACGGCACAGCACACATGATGGCCAGCATTGTAATGGGCATCATCAAACTGAACGAGAGATGGAGACTTTGACATTAGTGACATGTGGGGATTGCACTGGAGGAACACGGATATTAGTGACATATGGGGGATTGCACTGGAGAAACATGGATATTAGTGACGTGTAGGAGATTGCACTGGAGAAACATGGACATTAGTGAAATGTACGAAATTGCACTGGGGAAACTTGGGTATTTATGACAAATAGGGTATTGCACTGGAAAAACAGGGATATTTGTAACACTGGAGAAATATTGAAATGAGTGATATAGGGCATATGAAGATAGTAATGTAATATTAATTAATTAAAATTTTAAAACATCATGCACCTTAAAGGTAAATATTTTTGGACATAAAATCATCATCAATAGAAGGTTAAAGGTCTGTATGAAAACTAAATAACTGAAACTATAATAATACATGTCTGAGTGGCAAAATTTGTCATTTGTCAACACATTTGCACACACCAATTTAATAAGTCTGGTAGTTTTTCCATCTCGCTTCGCTCTCAATGAAACGAATTGTAAAATTTGTCAGAGCTCTCTAAAGTCGGTTTAACAATTACTCGGGCGTAGTTAAATAAAAGAACTAGCCACAGTAGCAGGTTGTCACCGAAACCAATTGTCTGCAGACATAGAAGGGTGTTACCAAAGCAGGATGCCACCAGAGCAGGAAGACACCAGACATAGAAGGGTGTAACCATAGCATGATGCCACCAGAGCAGGAAGATACTAGACATAGAAGGGTGTTACCATAGCATGATGCCACCAGAGCAGGAAGATACCAGACATAGAAGGGTGTTATTATAGTAGGATGCCACCAGAGCAGGAAGACACCAGACATAGAAGGGTGTAACCATAGCATGATGCCACCAGAGTAGGAAGACACCAGACATAGAAGGGTGTTACCATAGCAGGATGCCACCAGAGCAAGATGCCACCAGAGCAGGAAGTCACCGGACATAGAAGGGTGTTACCATAGCAGGATGCCACCAGAGCTGGAAGTCACCGAAAGAGGTTGTCACAAGAAAGAGAATGGTGTTACCATTGCAAGTCGCAACGGGAAAAGAAAGTCACCGGTTGTCAACAGATAGAAGTTTGGTTGGGATGACACCACAAGTCTACCACATTGGATAAAAACCATGCTAGAGACGCCATGATTTTACCACACTGAATAACAGCAATGCTGGTGACACCATAAGTTTACCACACTGAATAACAGCAATGCTGGTGACATCATAAGTTTACCACACTGGATAACAGCAATGCTGGTGACATCATAAGTTTACCACACTGAATAACAGCAATGCTGGTGACACCATAAGTTTACCACACTGAATAACAGCAATGCTGGTGACACCATAAGTTTACCACACTGGATAACAGCAATGCTGGTGACACCATAAGACACCATAAGTTTACCACACTGAATAACAGCAATGCTGGTGACACCATAAGTTTACCACACTGAATAACAGCAATGCTGGTGACACCATAAGTTTACCACACTGAATAACAGCAATGCTGGTGACATCATAAGTTTACCACATTGAATAACAGCAATGCTGGTGACACCATAAGTTTACCACACTGGATAACAGTAATGCTGGTGACATCATAAGTTTACCACACTGAATAACAGCAATGCTGGTGACACCATAAGTTTACCACATTGAATAACAGCGATGCTGGTGACACCATAAGTTTAACACACTGAATAACAGCAATGCTGGTGACACCATAAGTTTACCACACTGAATAACAGCAATGCTGGTGACATCATAAGTTTACCACACTGAATAACAGCAATGCTGGTGACACCATAAGTTTACCACACTGAATAACAGCAATGCTGGTGACACCATAAGTTTACCACACTGAATAACAGCGATGCTGGTGACACCATAAGTTTACCACACTGAATAACAGCAATGCTGGTGACATCATACGTTTACCACACTGGATAACAGCAATGCTGGTGACACCATAAGTTTACCACACTGAATAACAGCAATGCTGGTGACATCATACGTTTACCACAATGGATAACAGCAATGCTGGTGACACCATAAGTTTACCACACTGAATAACAGCAATGCTGGTGACACCATAAGTTTACCACACTGGATAACAGCAATGCTTGTGACACCATAAGTTTACCACACTGAATAACAGCAATGCTGGTGACATCATAAGTTTACCACACTGAAGAACAGCAATGCTGATGACACCATAAGTTTACCACACTGAATAACAGCAATGCTGGTGACACCATAAGTTTACCACACTGAATAACAGCAATGCTGGTGACACCATAAGTTTACCACACTGGATAGCAGCAATGCTGGTGACACCATAAGTTTACCACACTGAATAACAGCAATGCTGGTAACACCATAAGTTTACCACACTGAATAACAGCAATGCTGGTGACACCATAAGTTTACCACACTGGATAACAACAATGCTGGTGACACCATAAGTTTACCACACTGGATAACAGCATTGCTGGTGACACCATAAGTTTACCACACCGAATAACAGCAATGCTGGTGACACCATAAGTTTACCACACTGGATAACAGCAATGCTGGTGACACCATAAGTTTACCACACTGAATAACAGCAATGCTGGTGACACCATAAGTTTACCACACTGAATAACAGCAATGCTGGTGACACCATAAGTTTACCACACTGGATAACAGCAATGCTGGTGACAGACACCATAAGTTTACCACACTGAATAACAGCAATGCTGGTGACACCATAAGTTTACCACACTGAATAACAGCAATGCTGGTGACACCATAAGTTTACCACACTGAATAACAGCAATGCTGGTGACATCATAAGTTTACCACATTGAATAACAGCAATGCTGGTGACACCATAAGTTTACCACACTGGATAACAGTAATGCTGGTGACATCATAAGTTTACCACACTGAATAACAGCAATGCTGGTGACACCATAAGTTTACCACATTGAATAACAGCGATGCTGGTGACACCATAAGTTTAACACACTGAATAACAGCAATGCTGGTGACACCATAAGTTTACCACACTGAATAACAGCAATGCTGGTGACATCATAAGTTTACCACACTGAATAACAGCAATGCTGGTGACACCATAAGTTTACCACACTGAATAACAGCAATGCTGGTGACACCATAAGTTTACCACACTGAATAACAGCGATGCTGGTGACACCATAAGTTTACCACACTGAATAACAGCAATGCTGGTGACATCATACGTTTACCACACTGGATAACAGCAATGCTGGTGACACCATAAGTTTACCACACTGAATAACAGCAATGCTGGTGACATCATACGTTTACCACAATGGATAACAGCAATGCTGGTGACACCATAAGTTTACCACACTGAATAACAGCAATGCTGGTGACACCATAAGTTTACCACACTGGATAACAGCAATGCTTGTGACACCATAAGTTTACCACACTGAATAACAGCAATGCTGGTGACATCATAAGTTTACCACACTGAAGAACAGCAATGCTGATGACACCATAAGTTTACCACACTGAATAACAGCAATGCTGGTGACACCATAAGTTTACCACACTGAATAACAGCAATGCTGGTGACACCATAAGTTTACCACACTGGATAACAGCAATGCTGGTGACACCATAAGTTTACCACACTGAATAACAGCAATGCTGGTGACACCATAAGTTTACCACACTGGATAACAGCAATGCTGGTGACACCATAAGTTTACCACACTGAATAACAGCAATGCTGGTGACACCATAAGTTGACCACACTGGATAACAGCAATGCTGGTGACATCATAAGTTTACCACACTGGATAACAGCAATGCTGGTGACACCATAAGTTTACCACACTGAATAACAGCAATGCTGGTGACACCATAAGTTGACCACACTGGATAACAGCAATGCTGGTGACATCATAAGTTTACCACACTGGATAACAGCAATGCTGGTGACACCATAAGTTTACCACACTGAATAACAGCAATGCTGGTGACACCATAAGTTGACCACACTGGATAACAGCAATGCTGGTGACATCATAAGTTTACCACACTGGATAACAGCAATGCTGGTGACACCATAAGTTTACCACACTGAATAACAGCAATGCTGGTGACACCATAAGTTGACCACACTGGATAACAGCAATGCTGGTGACATCATAAGTTTACCACACTGAATAATAGCAATGCTGGTGACATCATACGTTTACCACACTGGATAACAGCAATGCTGGTGACACCATAAGTTTACCACACTGAATAACAGCAACGCTGGTGACACCACTCTCTATATACCTTGAAAACCTACACCAGCACAACTCTGGTGTAACGCCTATTTTGTAAAACTATGAAAAGAAAATCTCCAGATCAATGTAGCACAATATTGTACGGACGAGTGAAATCAAATAATTATTTTTAAAAAAAAAAGTATGTAATGAGGTATATGTGATGGAATTTTACACTAAAGTAAATGAATTATATTTTTTATTTACATAAACATAATAAAACATAATTTTTTTAAAGGAAGCCTTCGAGCAATTGTGAGATTTTTTTACGAAATATTCCAGCATCGAATGTAATGTCTGCTTATATGTGTGCATCAAATGTAATGTCTGATCATATTTATGCATCAAATGTAATTTCTGCTCGTATTAATGCATTAAATGTAATGTCTGCTCATATGTATTCATCAAATGTAATTTCTGATCGTATTAATGCATTAAATGTAATGTCTGCTCATATGTATGCATCACATGTAATATCTACTCATATCAATGTATCAAATGTAAGATAAATAATAATAATCGGCATCCTTCCGTCTCGTGAGACGATGGTGCATTTACAAGCATTCTTTGTTCACATTGATATAACAAGGTAAGAGTAACACATACACATAGATAAAATAAGACCGAACAATTAGATATTTACCTAAGTAAAATAAAGAGATCTTTTATTAATATTATATTACAAATAGCATTATTAAATGAAAATTATCTGTAGCAAAATATCATAAGGCATATTACATTATTATAAGTGTTAAAACATTCCTGATTGCTACCGACATAAGCGACCCTGACTGACACAATTTAAGGCGAATCTGAATGGAAATTGACACCTGTTTAAATAAGCATTTTCCTTTTAAAATCTCCATTCTTTCTTTCCCCCTAAAAGTGTTTGAAAAAAATCAAGGTATTAGACTAGACCTGCACAACTCAAAACGTAAGGCGGGCCGTAATACTTATTACAAACTTGTGCGGGTCGAAAGATGATAGGACAGTTGGGGGGGGGGGGCGGGAGCTATTAAGAAAATAAAAATGATAAAAAAACATTTCGTTACTTTACGGGCCGCCAAGAGGGTGCGGGCCGTATGTTGTGCAGGCCGGAATTAGACAATGGATTTTAAAAACTAGACCTGCACAACTCAAAACGTAAGGCGGGCCGTAATACTTATTACAAACTTGTGCGGGTCGAAAGATGATAGGACAGTTGGGGGGGGGGGGCGGGAGCTATTAAGAAAATAACAATGATAAAATAACATTTCGTTACTTTACGGGCCGCCAAGTGGGTGCGGGCCGTATGTTGTGCAGGCCTGAATTAGACAATGTATTTTAAAACTAGGGCGAACCCAGATGCAGTTTTTTTACACCTGATCCGGATATTTGGAGAAAATCCCCGGCGGAGCCCAGTGTTACAAAATTAAACAATCCCTAAAAACGATATTTTTTGAATAAATCTTTGTAATGTAATACCTAGCAATGGAGTGTAGGGCTTACAAAATAAAACAAAAAAAACATGCATGCAAGCAACTCACCTTATAAGAATCCCAGTTAGTGTTCCCCCCATTAAGGCTCGCCACTGCAAATTTTGTTATCAGCCCCTGAACTATATTGAGATTTTAATGGCCAACCCGCATTTACACCGCAGATTTATTTTAACAACGGATTTAGAAAAACAAAAGAAAATATTACGCACCAAACGCACTTGCGATAATTTTGTTGTGGAAAGAATCTCATTTAGCGCAGTTATGGGGAATTTTATTTCGTGAAATTAGTGTCATCACATTTCCCCCATCTTCTGCTTGAAAAAGAGAACAATCTGACGTTTGGAGATTTGGTTTCGGGGGTGGGGCTGAATATTTAAAAGAAAATTTTGTCATCAGCAAAGAGCCTATGTGCCAAGTTTCAGCGCGATAGGTTGACGAACAGTAAATCAATTGGCCGTCGGAATATTTTTTCCACCTTTCAGCCAAGAACAAAAATGAAGTTTATATGAAGATTTACAAAGAGATAAGTTCTCATTTTCTATTATATGCAACGAAATCTACTGCCATATGTCGTACTGAGAGTGCTTTGTCTTCGTCAACCATTTGTGTACAGAAATAACCCACAGATAAGGTACAGGCAGTTGCCGGTTCCAGGAACAGAGATGACTTTGTACAAAAACCCGTCGACAGAGAAGATAATGACGTTCATTTTATAACAAAAGCTTACGAAAAAAAGCAGTAACAGCATAACTAAATAGCAATAACCTTCATGTACCCGGCTACGGAATAGACCCACAGGCGCACACATGCCCGAAGAGAAAGGACGGCACATGACCCAGTTCTATGTTGTGGGCAGAACATAGATTTGAAAATACAGTCACATCGCAAAAAAAAAAAAAAAAAAAAAAAAAATCCCTTACCAACGAAAAAAAAAATTTGAAAAAAAAATCAAAAAGAAAAAAAAAAAAAAAAAAAAAAAAAAAATTCCTTGCTAAGGAAAAAAAAAACCCAACCTATTTACCGGAGTTGAGATGTTATGCATGAAGCTCTATTTGTGACAGAGTGACACGAGCAATAGCAACACCAAATACTAGTCACCTCCCCCTAAAGCAGCGGTTCTCAACCTGTGGGTCGCGACGCCTTTGGGGGTCGCACGACCCTTTCACAGGGGTCACCTAAGACCATCTGAAAAGACGTGTACTCTAGAGTTATAGAGTATCAACGAAAATAATTTTGTGGTTGGGGGTCGCCACAACACGAGGAACTGTATTAAAGGGTCGCGGCATTAGAAAGGTTTAGAACCACTGCCCTAAAGGTTTGGAACTCAATTGACACACAGGAGAAGAGATTTTTAAATTGTAAGTAAATTGTGTCTGGTTCCTTCCACCGAATTCTATGAGCATCCTTGTGTCTAGTTCCCTAATACACATTAAGAAGCACCCCTTGTGATTATTTTCCCCATTCAACATCAATGAACATCCTTTCTTTCTAGTTCCCTCATTCAACGTCAATGAACATCCTTTCTTTCTAGTTCCCTCATTCAACGTCAATGAACATCCTTTCTTTCTAGTTCCCTCATTCAACGTCAATGAACATCCTTTCTTTCTAGTTCCCTCATTCAACGTCAATGAACATCCTTTCTTTCTAGTTCCCCCATTCAACATCAATGAACATCATTTCTTTCTAGTTCCCCCATTTAACGTCAATGAACATCCTTTCTTTCTAGTTCCCTCATTCAACGTCAATGAACATCCTTTGTGATTAGTTCCCTTAGTCAGTCAACATCATGGAACATTAATTGTGCCTAGTTCCCTCATTCTACTTAAGGAACACCCTTTGTGATTAGTTCCCCCATACAACATCAAGGAACATTCCTTGTTTTTTTGTTCTCTCATTCAACATCAAAGAACATTCTTTGCGATTAGTTCCCTTAGTTAATAAACATCGCGGAGCATCCCTTGTGCCTATTTCCCTCATTCAATATAAGGAACATCCACTGTCATTAGTTCCCAAATTCAGCATCAAGGAACATCCTTTGTGTCTGTTTCCCCCATTCAGCATCAAGGAGCATCCATCCTGCCTATTTCCGGGACTCATCACCAATGACAGTCCGGCCTAAGTTGCAGAGAATCATCAATTGGTTTAATTTAACTCAGAAATACCCACAAATTTTGGAAAAGTTTTGAAAGACCACAGACCCCGTTAAATTTCTATTATTAGACAACATACCACTTAAATTTATTTTATAAAACAACAGACTACCTAAAATCGTTGTATAACACAACTGATGACTTAAAATTGATTGTTTTATAAGACCAAAGGCCACTTAAAATTGTTTTATAAGACATTAGACCATGTAAAATTGTTTTATAACACAACAGATCAATTAAAATTTATTATTTTATAAGGTAACAGACCACGTAAAACTGTTTTTATAACACAGCAGACTAATTAACATTAGAATACATTAATTATTTCCTTGAAGCAAAACTGATTGAATAATTTGATGTAAATTTAACCCCACCCCTGTGGCCTACACTCTGCTGCACTCCAAAGCTATTTCTTTAAAATTTCGGGTTAACTATTGCGTACGTTTTGCATATTTCTACGTAACAAAATAGGACGAGAACCCTACTCTACAGGACACCCTACGAACCCATATTTAAAATCAACTTCCTCTATCCGCTCAGCGTGTCCGTAATATATGGATGACCCCTTATACATCATATAATTTTGCCTGTAACTTAAGTATTTATAAAAAAAGTATCGCCCTAACTATTTCATGATTAAAGCCCCTATAACAAAAATGATCAGCGTCAGTGCGACAATGTTAAATATGAGAAAAAATGTGTTCAGTTTTTCAGCCCGGGTTCTCTTGGGGGCATCTATGGACGGCTGGTCATCGCTCATTGAACAATCGCCACCATTCTTGACTTGACCTTTCCCGGCGCTGCTGTCGTCCAGATCAGCGGTCAAGGGGAGAGGATGTTTCAAAATTGCTTCTCCTTTCTCGTCGTCTGTGTGTTCGTTAGCGCCCGCAATGCCCTGTTGGTCTTCAGCCGCCCTGAGATCTCGTCGGTGTATAATGATGACCAAAGCATTGCCGGCCACGGACAGGAAGGACAAGAGGAGCAACGTGTCCACGTACACAACTGTGGAAGCAATGGAGACCAATAGAAAACGGCTAGCTGAAAAAATTTGAATATTGTGCGAATTTGACTCAAAGAGTTCTATAAATAATAGCTGCACTGTGAAATGTTAGCCACTTGTATGTATGTATATAATTTATAAATATGCCGGTTTAATCAACTATTAACATCGAATTAATATCTTCTTCATATATTTAAAATATTACTTATCAAATTTCTTGGAGCCATAAGATAAAATGATAATCCATATTGATTAAATATAAAACTTGACACATTCAGTAATGACATAGGATATATTATAATACTTTATGTTTGTTTGGCATATACAAATAATATCCTCTAGACTCTAAGAGTTAAAAGGGATTCAAATCAACAACTCACCAATCAATGACATGTTGTCCGAGGTCTCCGGCAGGTCAGCGTCAATGACGCCTAGAAACACCGTGAATGACAACAGAACTGTGATGGCCACTGACACCTTCTCCGGCTCCTCCGGTGTCAGGAGAAAAGACACGACACACAGGACAGCCAGGAGCGTAACCGGGGTCAGGAGGCTGGCGGTGGGACCGGTACGACAAACATTAGATGAGGCAAGTTTGTTAACAAAATGAAATGTCTGTCACAGACAGAGCCGCGAAAAGTTTATGTTTTGTATTGTGTTTTCATTCAACGAGTTTGCCAAACAAATTAACTAGGTAACATACACAAGTCAAGGAAGTCTGAACTAACATGCTTAAGTGTACAAAATTCAATGACATTTATGAAGAAATTTTTTGAATGATGAAGACATTGGCGTTGGAAAGGTGATGTGACATTGGCGTTGGAAAGGTGATGTGACATTGGCGTTGGAAAGGTGATGTGACATTGGCGTTGGAAAGGTGATGTGACATTGGCGTTGGAAAGGTGATGTGACATTGGCGTTGGAAAGGTGACGTGACATTGGCGTTGGAAAGGTGACGTGACATTGGCGTTGGAAAGGTGATGTGACATTGGCGTTGGAAAGTTGATGTGACATTGACGTTGTAAAGTTGATGTGACATTGGCGTTACGGGGCACTCCGCCCCATGTGGTCATTTTTTAATTTATACTAGGGGTGACATTTTTTGTCAACTTCAGAGTTTTGTCGTGAAAGGCGGGGATGGAAGTAATTGGTACGCCTCCGACAGTAATAACCCTAGCTACGTCGCTGAAAAAAAAAAAGATTTATTTTTTAAAAAGGTAATACTTTTTTTTTTTTTTTTTTCATCAAAAAGAGACCTTTTTTTTTCTTTATCACATTCCCATCAACCAGTTGTTTTCAGGCTAATGGCCCCTGCCGCGGCAACCAAAAACCTTTGTCCGGGGAAAAAAAAAAAGATTTATTTTTTAAAAAGGTAATTCTTTTTTTTTTTTTTTTTGCATCACAAAGAGACCTTTTATTTTCTTTATCACATTCCCATCAACCAGTTGTTGTCAGGCTAATGGCCACTGTCGCGGCAAGCAAAAATCTTTGTCCGGGGCTAAGTCCCTCTAAAGATAGGAGCCTTATGGGCACAACCCATCACACGGCTCTGCTCAAGGTTCAGCTTCTCAGGCCGATTTGGGATTTCTTTTGTAATTCATAAAGAAGAAATACAATTTTTTTTTTAACTTAACGCACAAAGTAGACAATTTAATGCTAAACCAGACCCTGGACACTACACTGAATAGATAAAGTAAAGCATTTTTTTTTTACCATTCTAATAACTGATTGGTTTCTACTCACGTCATGGCCAGGTAAGCGGGTCTTCTTTTCAATTTGAGATGAAAGTAGATCGTGCTGTAAAACTTGTCGGCAAAGTCATCCACCAATATTTCTGCCCCGTCAGCTGTGATCCAGAACTGGCTGTTGGTCACCGAACCTGACATTCTGATCGGTTCGTCTGCTAGCAGCAGCTGGTTGCAGATACGAAAGACAAGATTCTTTAGTTAAAGCAAAGCATGTTTATTAGTTATTAAGATTCAGAAACTATAGCTTTTTCACGAATAGTCACAACCTGGTGTATGCATTTAGCTCTTAATATAGAAGTTAGATAAAAACTCAAAACATACGATACATTATAAAAACAGATCCAGTTTTGAATCTACTAACGAGAAGAAATGCTTCAATTAATTTACTTGCAAAGAAAAAAAAGTCTGTTGATATATATTCTAAAAATCTAACTCAACACTAAGACTGGTCGAAACAAGCAGCTTTTTATATTCAAACCCGATGTACCAAATAGCTTCGAGAAAAAACAAAGAAAAGATATACTGAAATATTATAGAGCTACTGCAGCGTTGCCAGTGGGGGCAGCAGAGGGAGTGGCAACACACACACCCCGCCCCCGGAAATATGTTTAAAAAATAGGGCCTATTAATTATTCGTATGTAGGTCTAACAAAAAATAGTGTTTAAATTTAAACAAAATGTGTTTAATTAACAAAAATAGTGTTTAATTAGAAAAAACAACAACAGTTTTTCATCGATTTAATGTCCGAAAAAAAAGTAAGGACTATTTTAAGAAAAGTTTACGCAACATTAACAAAATCTAACGTTGTCTCCACTGTCTCCCGTTCTTAATTACACACAAGATTCAAAGAGAGTGGCGTAGGTAAGATAAAATAAGCTTAACGGGAGGGTCTCTTTTGCATGAAAATGTGTGACAGGGACAACAGCTGCCTATTGCATGGACATGTGTGACAGTGACAACAGCTGGCTATTGCATGGAAATATGTGACAGTGACAGCAACTGGCTTTTGCATGGAATTTGTGACAGTGACAACAACTTGCTATTGCATGGACATTTTTGACAGTGACAACAGCTGGTTATTGCATGGAAATGTGTGACAGTGACAACAGCTGGCTATTGCATGGCAATTTTTGACAGTGACAACAGCTGGTTATTGCATGGAAATGTGTGACATTGACAACAGCTGGCTATTGCATGGAAACCTGTGACAGTGACAGCAACTGGCTTTTGCATGGAATTTGTGACAGTGAAAACAGCTGGCTTTTGCATGGAATTTGTGACAGTGAAAACAGCTGGCTATTGCATGGAAATTTTTGACAGTGACAACAGCTGGTTATTGCATGGAAATGTGTGACAGTGACAACAGCTGGCTATTGCATGGGAATATGTGACAGTGACAGCAACTGTCTTTTGCATGGAATTTGTGACAGTTACAACAGCTGGCTATTGCATGGAAATTTTTCACAGTGACAACAGCTGGTTATTGCATGGAAATGTGTGACAGTGACAACAGCTGGCTATTGCATGGACATTTTTGACAGTCACAACAGCTGGTTATTGCATGGAAATGTGTGACAGTGACAACAGCTGGCTATTGCATGGAAATATGTGACAGTGACAGCAACTGGCTTTTGTATGGAATTTGTGACAGTGACAACAACTGGCTATTGCATGGAACTATAAGAGAGTGATAACAGCTGGCTATTGCATGGAAATATGTGAAAGGGACAGCAGCTGGCTATTGCATGGAAATATGTGACAGTGACAACAGCTGGCTATTGCATGGAAATATGTGACAGTGACAACAGCTGGCTATTGCATGGAAACATGTGACAGTGACAACAGCTGGCTATTGCATTGAAATGTGAGACCGTGACAAAAGCTGGCTATTGCATTGAAAGTGTGACAGTGACAACAGCTGGCTATTGCATGGAAATATGTGACAGAGATAGCAGCTGCCTGTTGAAGTTTACATAACGCCAAGATCAACTGGGCATCTTTGTAACTGGGACTTGGTTTTTCAACTGCTTGAGCGTCCCCATTTATTTTTGAAGTCTTTTAAACATCATATATTTTAAATAAAAATAGTTATAATAAAGTATTTGTATAATGAGATTCAGATCAGGCAACATACATTTCCTCTAGCATCTCCACTATTTCGCTTCGATTGTGAAATATACAACATAAAGTTCCGATTTCCGATATGCGTCAAAATACATCGTTGCATACTGAATTTATAAAGAACAAATTCTTGAGAAGGGCTCCCTTCCTATTTTCGCCCCATTTCTCACCTCCTCCCTTAATTTTTTCAGTTAAAATGATAGTCCCATTTTATTTTTAAAAGTTATCAAATTTTTTTCTATGTTTGGTGTTATGATGTTTCAAGTACCAAAAGTAAACCCATATAATCATACATAAATAATCATAATCAATTTTATTTGTTAAACTGTTATTTTTTTGCGCGTAGTTCTGTTTTAGAATTTTCACGCCACCCCACCCCAGCAGTCAAAACCTGCTTAAGCTATCGTAAAACAGCATTTCAACCATTTTTGAAAGATTTCTGCAAAATGCCTCCCTAATTACTAAGTAGGTCACTGATCGGCACCAAGTCGGCTAGAAGTCGACTCAATACAAAATTATTTAATTCTTTTATCACTTCACGGCGACCCTATGATAAAGAAGCGACGCCCCTGTAATGAGGCAGCGCACCTCTGTGACGAGGCAGTGCCCCCACCCTGTGTCGAGGCAGCGACCCCATAATGAAGCGGCGCCCCCTTGACGAGGCAGCGCCCCCCTGTGACCAGGCTATGGCTCCAAATACGCTGATAAAACATGACACAGCAAAATTGTTATATGACATAATACAACTAAAATGTTGCAACATAGTACAACTAAGCTAGTATAACACATTTAACTTACTACAACAGACGAGTTATCATTCATCCATGACGTCACTTCCAGCCGGCAGACATTTACATCAAAGGGATATTGGGAGATATCAACCTGAAGAATTTTACAGTATGTTATTTTTTTTTGTTATATTAGTTTTTAAAAATAAAATAAGTAAGAATCATTAGTGTATATCACATTGTATAGCACATTGTATATTATATTTAATATCATATTATAAATCAAATTACATATCATATCGTATATCATATTGTATATTATATTGTATATTGGTTATGGTGGCCGAATGGTCTAAACTGAGGAAATCTGAAGTTGGTGGTCTGAAGCTCAATTCCAGCATAAGCCTAGTCAAGCAAAAAACATCTCCAGCACCCCGGGTGGATGGGACTCGTTTACCTTGGATAGCAACTCCTCTAGGAGAAGGAAACTCTTAATTCAAACCCGAAGATGGAGTCCCGTAGGCGGATAACATTGGTACAATAAAAAATTCCAACAACCCCTGCGACGCCACTGGTGCCAAGCTGCATCATCGACATGATGTTCTCTTGGGTTATACAGCATGGAGGGAGGCGATTTGCTGTTGGGAACCAGCTTATAATCCTAGAAGAATAATCCCGGGCCTTGTGGATTTCATCCTGCGTGGTCTTCACCATCGTCACATTGTGACGGACGGATGCCAGTTATTACAATTGTTTCAGAGTGAATTAAATAGTTATGTTGTTTTTGGAAATGGTAAAACTAGAGATACGATGTAACGGAAACTAAATGAGTTGTTTTTTAATTAGACTAAAAGTCTCATGTGCTTTGCATCAGAAATCAGCAAGTAAAAACAGGCACGCTTTGTAGTAAAAAAGAATGATTATAAGTCGTTTGATACTAAAATGTAGCAGATGGCATTGAATCATTCTTTGCTAACTCCACCCATCCCCACATTATCTTTTATCGCAATGCTTGACAGCTTGGTTAAAGGCTAACAAATAACCCCTGTGTATCACCACGGTTGTATCATATACAAGATCCTATATGTTATTGTCCGTACCTTTTTTTCTTCATCTTGGAGGCATTTTGCGTGGCGCACATGTGGCGATAACTCGCGGCACACAAGATTGCCGTGGCACACAAGATTGCCGTGGCACACCAGTAGGGGAGGTGTGCTTTACATATTGAAAATAAAATTAAATAAAAAGATTCACTATGAATCAACAAGTACGTTAAGGTGACAATAGAGCGCCATACTACGTCTTACTTCAACCAAAAGCGTTGGCCCACACATGCTACGGTTGGAATCAAATTGAATTTTGAATTCAAGGAACTAAGTTTAGACTTTAATCGAAACTTTCTATAACAAATAGTTTACTTCACTTTCTAGGTACGTGGCTCTTTGATTTGATGTCTGCAATCTCTCAGAAGATCATAATGTATTTCCGCAATCAATTTGGAGATGAATCACATAATTAGAGGAGGCTGTATTGACACGCACTGAAACATACGGTAAAACGATCCTTCTCTGCCTGCGCCCCCAAACAATGGAATTCTCTCCCACTACACAGTCGCAATATACCGACCATCCATGACTTCAAAACTGCACTCAAGACACATTCATTAAAATTATACTATTCCGACTGATTCCCATCCCCTTCTGACCGATAAACGATGCTGTTGGGTGCCATCCATGACGTGACATATGAATAGCTCAAAAAAAAAGGGGGGAGGGAGTATATTTTTAACAGAGCTGATTTTAATTCAATAAATGTATGTAACTGGTTTAATGTCATGTTTATTCTTTCCTATATTTTTATATGAAGCGCTTTAAGCCCAGCCCTGTTACCTAGGCTGTGGTACCTCGCTATATAAGTGGGCCTAGCCCTAGGCTGAATTACCGCGCTATATAATTAAGCTTAGCCCTAGACCAGGGGTCGGGAAACTTTTGTCTGAGAGAACCATGGGCACCACATATTTTTAAAAGTATTTCTGTAAGAGCCGTACATTGTGTTTAAAACTAAAAATTCAAGTAAATGTGAGCATTTTGTAAAATTTCAACACTAAAAATGCAATAATTATGTCTCTGAATTCTTTTTAATAACATTGTTATGCTGTTGCTAATCAAAGGAGTCTAAAGAAACCTTTTTTTTTTAAATCGAACATTTGACCGCGAGCCAGATGCAGTCATCAATAGAGCCACATCTGGCTCGCGAGCCATAGGTTCCCGAAACCTGCCCTAGACTGTGGTACCGCGCTATATAAGTGAGCTTCGCCCTATGCTATGATACCGAGCTATATTAGTGAGCCTAGACCTAGGATGTAGTGCCGCGCTATATGTGAGCCTAACCATAGGCTGTGGTAACATGCTATATAAGTGAGCCTAGCCCTAGGCTGTGGTACTACGCTATATTAGTGAGCCTAGATCTAGGGTGTTGTGCCGCGCTATATGTGAGCCTAGCCCTAGGCTGTGGTAACATGCTATATAAGTGAGCCTAGCCCTAGGCTGTGATACAACGCAATATTAGTGAGCCTAGACCTAGGCTGTGGTACCATGCTGCAAAAGACCACTGTAATATTAATAATAATGACATAATTACAGGAGACTGACCAGAACTGACCTGACATGTCGCATCCAGATTTATGCCCGGCTCCCATCTGACTTCGCCTTTGAAGTTGACGTCTGCCAGAAGATTCTCTCCTCCCAGATAGATATCGTCTTCTAGACTATGTAACGGAATAAATCACGTCCAAAATATAAATATGTTTTCAGGCTAATGAATGCTCAATAGGATGATTATATAATACATTTCATCTCAATACTGTAGTATTTAAATATAATTCAAAATGCAACTCAAGCCTTCAAACCCCTAGTGCATGATTTCCTCATCAACACCAGTAACAGAAACATTGCAAATCCCATCTACATGCATAGGAGCCAAAATGATCAATAAATTGATCGTGGGGCCTTAAGATATAGAAGAAGAAGAAGAAGAAATTACACTTTATCTTACATTTTGCTTCATTCAATACGCATTGATTTGCATGGCTGGTTCCATTTGGGTTATATTATTACAGCCATGTTAACATACAGAAAGTAAAAATGTACACGACACATGTTAGTACAGTTATATGTACAAATGTACAGGAACAGGTTTGGACATGAAGATATGTACATTTCTGTACAGGACACATGTAATGGTATGGTAGACAATCAAAAGGGACAACATTTGGTGCTTCATAAATCTCCCCCTTAGTCTCACACTGATCCAATGTACTTTTGTTTCTACATTAGTTTCTTAAGCGGCACATTAGTGTTTCTTTCAGGCATCTCTCGGAAGGGGGGCAATAGCCCCCCCCCCCCGGAAATGTCAATTGCCCCACCCCCGAAAAAAAAGTAGACAACAAAACTATAATTATTAGAATACTTTAAATGTACTCGATTTACTGTATGAAAACTTAAAAAAAAAATTATATATATAATATTTTAATTAAGAATATAACGGGTGCATACCATCAGTGCACATGTCATCAATTATTATTAGATCGGAAGTGTTTATGTTTCCTTTAATGTATTACTTTTGTGACACGGTTTCGCAAATTCCCAAAAGCTTTTCTGTATTATTATTATCAGAATAATAAAGAAACTGCCCCATCTATTTGCACGATTCGCCCCCCCCCCCCTAGATGATAAACTAGTAGAAAGCTATAAAAAAAATTAAAATAAAAAATATTTTTAACTAGTGGCCGGATTATCATTTTCATTAAATTATTTTTTTTGGACACCAGCTTAAGGAAAAAAAAATCCTAAATGATCATTTTAAACTAATTATGTGAATTCGATAAAAAATTGTTTTATGGTATATCGAAGAGTCAAACTTTTAAATTTATCTAAAGAAAGTTATAGTTTTTTAACATTCCGATTTTGTTGTTGTTTTTTTGTTTAGTCAGCTGAAGATTGGGAAATGTAAACTTTAGTTGTAAAAGAATTCCCCCCCCCCCCTGATAAAAGACACATTAAACTGTATAATTTCTTTTTTAAACAACTCATGTTTTCTGAACATAATTAAAATGAACACTTTTTTTGAAACCAATAAAAATGGAAAGAACTTCATACTTAATAGTTTTTTTCTTTCTTTATGCCTCTGGTAAAACGTGGAAGTATTTAGAAAATGTGATTACTATAAGTGAGTTATTGTTGTTGTTTATTTTCTTTATGGGTTCAACTTGTCAAACATTGTTAGCAGTGTTTTTTGTGACGGAAAGCTTTTTTGGTGTTTGAAAATTCCTTGATTGACTTAGCAGTTAACTCCCAAAATAGTTTAAATTAAAAATAATAGCTGCATTACTATTCAGTACTATAATACTTCTTTTTGCACAACACAGAGCCATCGCTTGATCTCTCGAAGCCCGCCTGCCACTTTTTCTTTTGACCTCCCCCACCTTGCATCAAAAGATCATAACTAAAAAAGCGTCCAGATCGCTGATATGTGCCCGTAAAATATCAGAAACCCACCTGCTGTCCTTTACGTTGCTGGGTTCACACGATGGTTCTATGATTAAGCGACACATACATTTAAAAAAAAAGTTAGTTTGAAAAGCCCCCTCAAAAATTGTCTGAAAGAAACAAACGAATTCAAGTATGCCTCAAAATATGCTCCTGAATTTTGAATTGCCCGACTGTCTTCAGAACCCTCGATTTCTGCGACCCTTTCCCTCATGATAATCAATGTCACATTATGGGGTTGGATATAAGCCTGTACCAAATGAATACCCATGGGGCTCGCCACAACCGGAGTGAATTCAGTGTACATATGGAACTGGCGCCATAATGTCTCCCCCGGACCCTTTAAACATTTCCTACCTCCGACCAAAGATTCAAACAGAAACATTGAATTCAAATATACATCAAAATGCAACTCTTGATTTTGAAATATTTCAAAATTTTCTGGGGAAATTCCTCCCAACCCCCCCCCCACCCCGCTTAAGATAAATCTGCACCCTTTGATTTCGGCCCTAGTTTCAGATGAAAATGATTGGCAATTTTGGTGCCGATAGATACACTACCTAGTGGCGTAGCTAGTGTTAGTGTCGCTGTGGGCGACCAAGGATTTTTGCCCCCCTCCTTTTCAAGATACAAATCTGCGGTTGTCCTAAAAATGCCACAACTCCATATAATGAACAAGTGACACTGGATGCACCGAGCCATCCGCTTCCCTTCCACGCCACTGGCAGGGGGGGTATTTGGCTCAGCGGACAAGATTCAGTTTTTAACACCCACACCCACTCAATTCTAAAACCCACTGTTTTAACCTTTAAATACCTCCCAAGCCCAATTTGGTGTCTTCCGCACGGAAGTCTGTCTTATCTAACACACATTTGGCCACTGGTAGTGGCCCCCACCCCCGTAAATCTGAAAAGATGCTCCCCTTCCATGCCGGAGGAAATAGTCTGAAAAAAAAACACTAGGCACAATGCAAGCAGCACAAAGTAAGGGCCATAAAACCAGAGTACAAACTAAACTTGTTCTGGTTCACCCAGAAAGGGGTGTATATACATCTAACGTGGGATACAACCCTTGACCTAACCCAAGAATTTGGCACCAATGGCGAGGACTCAATGAGACTCACGAGTTATAAACAGCCATGTCTGGTTTCCAGATGATAGTCTGGGGCACCACCATGTCTTTGATACCTCCATAGTCGTCTGGGTTCCACGTCAGAAGTTCGTCGATCCATTTCTAAATGAAAGGATTTTATAGATGATGGAGTGTTCATGACTGACTAGTACTTTTAATAGATTCTTGACAATGTATCTAAATAAATACAAAATTACACAATGTTAAAGGAAATAAATATAACTGTTACCAAGCATCGACTTAAACGGCAAGCTATCTAAGCCTTGGAAATAGTTTTTTTGGATGAAAATCAGGTTCCTTACTACTAGAATTTAAAATTATGGATATAGTAGAGAAATATATAAATTTACTTTTAAAAAAATTAAAAAAATTAGGAAACCTCACACAAAACATAAGACACAAAAATCTTTTCAAAAAAGTATATAAATTAAATGGCCCCCAAAAGTTTAGAGTTAATACAAACATATGACTTCAAAGCGTGGGGTGAGAACAGAGCGGGATTAGCGTATAAGCTAATTTAACAATAGCTTAGGGCCACACAAACTGCCGGGGCCACACAAACTGCCGGGGCCACACAAAATGCCAGGGCCAAACAAACTGCCAGGTCACACAAACTGCCGGGGCCACATAAACTGCCGGGGCCACATAAACTGCCACGGCCACACAAACTGCCGGGGCCAAATAAACTGACGGGGCCACACAAACTGCCACGGCCACATAAGCTGCCGGGGCCACACAAACTGCCGGGGCCAAACAAACTGACGGGGCCACACAAACTGCCACGGCCACATAAGCTGCCGGGGCCACACAAACTGCCGGGGCCACACAAACTGCCTGGGCCACATAAGCTGCCGGGGCCACACAAACTGCGGGGTCACATAAGCTGCCGGGGCCAAATAAACTGACGGGGCCACACAAACTGCCACGGCCACATAAGCTGCCGGGGCCACACAAACTGCCGGGGCCAAACAAACTGCAGGGGCCACATAAGCTGCCGGGGCCACACAAACTTCCGGGGCCACACAAACTGTCGGGGCCTAACGAACTGTCGGGCCCTCAAAAGTATCTTTTAAGTATCTTTTTCCAATTTTTTAAATGTTTGATCAATTTTCTGTTACCTGTCATCCTCATCCTCTTGCCCTTAGTCCTTGGACCGTTGGAGCGCCACAGATGACATGTGAAACATCCTCCTCCATTCCTCTCTGTCTTCAGCACTACGCACTGCATCGCCCAGTGTTAGTCCTGTCCAGTCTTTAATGTTATCCTCCCATCTTTTTCTTTGTCTTCCTCTTCTTCTGCCTCCTCTTGTGGTGCCCTGCAATATTTCTTTGGCAAGCCTTTGTTTCCTGGTTACGTGGCCGTACCATTGTAGTTTGCGTTTTCTTCACAGTCACCAGTAGGTCAACGTACTCCCCAATTGCCTGACGAACCCTTTCTTTCACTGTATCATTGGAGACATGGTCCCTATGACAGATGCCAAAAATGCTTCTGAAGCCTCTCATCTACATCGCCTTTTATTTTCCTTTCAAGATCTGCTGTTAATGTCCAGGATTCGCAGGCATACAGGAAAATGAAGGGGACTAATGAGCGCATCAGCCTGATTTTGGTGCTGGGGGCTATATTTTGTCATCCCATATTTTCTTGAGCTTCTTTAGTGCTGTTGTAGTCTGCGCAATCCTGGACATCAGTTCGGGCTTGGAGCCTTCTTCTGAAACTATTGCTCCTAGGTATTTGAAGTGTCCGACAGTCTCTAGTTTTTCCTCCCCGACCTTAATTTCAGTGGTGATGCCTGCGATATTATTTTGTCTTTTCGGCACTGATTAGCATGCCGTAGGACGACGAGGTCTTATCGAGACGCTTTACCAGGTCGGTAGCTCTTCTTCGTTCCCAGCCAGCACGTCTATGTCGTCCGCAAAGCGTAGGTTGGTGATTTTTCTGCCACCAATGCTGACTGTTCATTCATGCGCTTCCAGAGCATCTGACATAATTCTCTCTAGGAAGATGTTGAATAGGGTGGGGGAGAGCAGGCAGCCTTGTCGTACTCCAACCGTGGTCTTGAACCATTCTCCCATGTTGTTGTTGAGGAAGACTGCACTGGTGGCCTTACCATAGAGGTTGCATATCATGCTGTTTAGGTTTGTGTTGATGTTGTAGTGCCTCGTTGTGGCCCATAAAGCAGCATGCCAAACCCTGTCAAATGCTTTCTTGAAGTCAACAAAGACGTGGTATAGGTTTTGTTGGTGTTGAGCATATTTCTCACATAGTATTCGGAGGTTTAGAATCTGTTCAGTAGTGCCCTGTCCTTGTCTGAAGCCCGCCTGTTCTTTTGCATTGATTCTGTCGGCATATGGTTTTAGTCGGTTCAATATGACCTTCAGCATGACCTTGCTTGGATGGCTTATTAGGCTAATTGTGCGATAGTTTTGGCATAGCTGTAGGTTTCCTTTTTTTGGGGAGGGTGACAGCGATTGGGTCCATGGTTTGGGCCATTCTCCTGTAAGCCAGATTTTGCTACAGATACCTGTTATTACCGTTTATTTAAAAGACTATTTATTTTAAATTGTTCTTGGGCCAGCTGATATCGATCAAAACGGTATGGAAACCTGTGAATGTCGTGTGGCATAGGGCCTCAGCAAATCGAAGTCCAGCCCTGCGCGAAACTTCAGTTCAGTTCTCGTGTCTTTTTCTCAAGCCCTAACATGTTTTGTTCTTTTATTCATTTACTTCACATGGCTTGAACGCAGTCCCCTATAAATCTCTCTCTCTCTCTCTCTCTCTCTCTCTCTCTTATTTTTGATCTTATATATATTGTTCTTGTGGTGTTACTGCTTCCATTTCCGGATAGCGCGCAAAATATCATTTGTCAACGTTTCGTGGGTAATGCCTTCTTTTCGGAAAGTGAAGTCATCTCAGTTTAACTCTGGTGTGATAAATATTCATTTTGAAAGTGGTTGGGACATCAGAATATTAATATAGTTCATAGGCGTAAAATAAAAAGTGTGCAGTGACGTAACATGGAGGGAAGGGGTGTAACAAAAATTCGAAATCTTAAGTGTGCGTTACTTGTTTTGTCAAGGAACTTTAGTAGATTGGAAGTTCACACATTGCTGTCGCATATGTCTGGCGAGCTATATCTAGTGAAGGTACAATTTTGCAGCCTGTTGTATTGGATTTATTTTCCAAATATATTTAGCTTTCAATATTTTCAAAATGTAATGTTTTAAAATGTAAAAAAAAGAAAAAAAATATCGATAATATTGTACATGTCCTTAGTGCAATGATTGTAATCGGTAGGAGTAATTGGGCTCGGAGTAACGCAAATTTCAATAACCGATTACTTGTGATCTGGGTGGAATCGATGCTAACAAACAAGAAGAGAAAGAGAGTAGGAAAAAACACAATCATTAGCGGGTGTTTAATTCCCCCCATAAACAAATATAGCACAGTGCTGCGATGCTTTGAAATAAATCAACAAAACATTTTTATCTTTGCTTCTAAGAGGTCGCCATGGTATAGGCTGGGGGCATGAGAGTGTCAGTAACAGAAATTAGAGCAAGTTGAATCAATGAACAATTTAAGTAAGTAAATATCACAACCCACTTTTATATAGAATTACAACAACCCAATCACATGTACAGATGTAACAACCTAATGTGTGTTCAGATTCCACAACCAAATCACACGTACAGATTGTCACAAACTAATATGTGGTCAGATACTACAACCCAATAATATATACAGATGTAACAACAAAATATGGGCTCAGATTCCACAACCCAATCACACTTACATATGTCACAAATTAATATGTGGTCAGATAACATAAACCAATCTGATGTGCAGATGTCACAACATAATATGTGGTCAGATACCACAACCCAATTACATGTACATATGTCATAAACTAATACTTAGTCAAATACAACAACCCAAATGACATGTACAGATGTCACAGACTAATATGTGGTCAGATACCACAACCCAATCAGATGTACAGATGTAACAAACTAATATGTGTTCACATTCCACAACCCAATGACTCGTACAGATTTCAAAACCTAATAAGTTGTCAGATACAACAACCCATTCACATGTACATATTATACAACCTAAATGTGTTCAGATTCAACAAACCAATGACACGTACAGACGTCACAACCTAATTTGTGGTCAGATACAACAACCCAATGACATGTACAGATGTCACAACCTAGTATGTGGTCAGATACCACAAACCAATCCCATGTACATTAGACTCAACCTAATATGTGGTCACATACCACAACTCAATCACATGTAAGAAATAGAAGATGCTTGATCTACTTATGTGTATTGCTGAGATGGTTGCCTGATAGGATTCTTGTTCTTTGACAGATCAAAAATGGACGAAACTCAACGAGGTGCAGTTGCATTGGGATTTTACTTTGAGTCACACTATACAGAGGGCAGTTTGAATAGTTTCATAAAAAGTAGAAAACAAATATTTAAAAAAGGTAATGGTTTCATCGATGAAAGGTTTGATAAGCTCGGATTTGTTCAAGTGTTTTTTTTTGTTTTTGTTTTTTTTGCAAGCAGGCGGTTGTGTCTTTGTGTCCAAGTTTGTTAAACGTGTCAAGTTAATAGCCGGAGCCATATCCACCAGACACTTCAGCTGGACACATGCAATAGGTGCATCTATTGGTTCAATTGGCCAGACACTACTGCTCTGCTAGACACATTTCATAGAGCAAGGCGTCAATTTCATTGTTGAAGGGTCTCATGTTAGTTTTTGGTAAGCAATTTAAAAACAAACAACTCCTGACTTAGCCTAGACTTTTGTTAAGCGTTCATTCAAAGAGTGTCATTTTACGTCATCCGAAAAGTGACATTTTACGTCATCCAAAAAGTGTCATTTTACGCCACCCAAAAGTGTATTTTTACGTCATTCAAAAGTGTATTTTTACGTCATTCAAAAAGTGTCATTTTACGTCATCTAAAAGTCTCATTTTACTTCATCCAAAAAGTGTCATTTTACGATAAAGTAAAATTTAAGGCACGTTTCAAAAATTGAGTTTGTTATTGTATACATTTTCTTTCTTGTACAAATGTAAACTAAACACATTCAGAAAATATAGGAAATGACATGGTAGTTGAAAGCAAACATCTTTTAATCGTTATTAATTTATTTTTGTTTCCATTTATTTCTATTACGTTTCTAGTGGATAACTGCAAAAACGAAAACTAAAGTGGACTCATGGAATTCAAATGATATTTTAAAGAGCTAGTGTTATGGGCATTGTATTAAAGGACCCTTGTACGAACAGGGCATTTTATTAATTGGACCACTTTTCCAATAGGGCCATTGAATGAATTGGACCATAAGAATCCGATCATTTTATGAACTAGGCTGTTGTAAAGATTGGAAATTGTGTGGATGGGGCATTGTTTAACATGGAAATTGTGTGGATTAAACATTGTGTGGATTGAACATTGTGTGGATTGGTCAAAGCTATTGTAAGAAGTCAGGACAAAAAAATTTGAGAATTCTATGTGCAAGCCATCGCTTTGTTTCCCAAGGAGACAAAACACAACAAGAAGGTGACGTCAAAGTCTTGCGTTGTCGTAACCATGAACTTCTCTACCCTCAAACACAAACACTTACAAATGTAAACTATTTTATGACATCGATCACAGACATGCTGGGTGACGTCATTGTTTGAACGTCCCAGACATTCCCAACCTTAACATCTCCTCCCACGCTCAAGTGAGTTTGTCTCGCCGTTTGAAGTGTTCAAGTAACGGGTTTATAAGTATTAAAAAGAAATGTCTTTGTCAATCAATACACCCCCCCACTCAAAACCAGCTATACATAAAAATCATGATTGTTGCATTGTCACTAGTAGATTTCAAATGTTTTAAGCTTCACATTGCACTTAATACTTACAAATGAAATGAATCCATTGATAGACAAGACCTGATTCTTTATATCCTGTAAATGCAAATAATATATTCGAGTTTCATTACAATCATTAAATTAAATTTATTGTATGATTGAATATAATTGAATAATCTGTTACGAATAGAGAGAAACTTAAGTATGGCATTATGTCTAAATACATGTGTAATTTAAATTAATTGCATACTATGCCGAATAAGGCCATGAAACAAAGAAAACTAGTACTTGAAAATCTTAAGTCAAGTCTGTAGCAAAACAAATGAACACACGTTTGGTCTCCGACAGCTTAGTATTTCTTCTATTGGCAAGGTGGTAGCCATTATGGGTATCTTGCAAGGTGGTAGCCTTTATGTGGATCTTGCACGGTGGTAGCCTTTATGGGTATCTTGCAAGGTGGTAGCCTTTATGTGGATCTTGCAAGGTGGTAGCCTTTATGTGGATCTTGCAAGGTAGTAGCCTGCTGTGTATCTTGCAAGGTGGTAGCCTTTATGGGTATCTTGCAAGGTGGTAGCCTTTACGGGTATCTTGCAAGTTGGTAGCCTTTATGGGTATCTTGCAAGGTGGTAGCCTTTATGGGTATCTTGCAAGGTGGTAGCCTTTATGGGTATCTTGCAAGGTGGTAGCCTTTATGGGTATCTTGCAAGGTGGTAGCCTTTATGTGTATCTTGCAAGGTGGTAGCCTTTATGGGTATCTTGCAAGGTGGTAGCCTTTATGTGTATCTTGCAAGGTGGTAGCCTTTATGGGTATCTTGCAAGGTGGTAGCCTTTATGTGTATCTTGCAAGGTGGTAGCCTTTATGGGTATCTTGCAAGGTGGTAGCCTTTATGTGTATCTTGCAAGGTGGTAGCCTTTATGGGTATCTTGCAAGGTGGTAGCCTTTATGTGTATCTTGCAAGGTGGTAGCCTTTATGGGTATCTTGCAAGGTGGTAGCCTTTATGTGTATCTTGCAAGGTGGTAGCCTTTATGGGTATCTTGCAAGGTGGTAGCCTTTATGTGTATCTTGCAAGGTGGTAGCCTTTATGGGTATCTTGCAAGGTGGTAGCCTTTATGTGTATCTTGCAAGGTGGTAGCCTTTATGGGTATCTTGCAAGGTGGTAGCCTTTATGTGTATCTTGCAAGGTGGTAGCCTTTATGGGTATCTTGCAAGGTGGTAGCCTTTATGTGTATCTTGCAAGGTGGTAGCCTTTATGGGTATCTTGCAAGGTGGTAGCCTTTATGTGTATCTTGCAAGGTGGTAGCCTTTATGGGTATCTTGCAAGGTGGTAGCCTTTATGTGTATCTTGCAAGGTGGTAGCATTTATGTGTATCTTACAAGATAGTAGCCTTTATGTGTATCTTGCCCCATGCTAACAACCCAGAGAGACCTGTTATTAACATTTCAACTCTTGAGTCACATGACTAGACTATCATTGTGAGGACACAGCACATCCCGTTACGAGAACTAAACATTAAAAATATGTTGAAAAGCGGGGGTAAGAGAAAAGCCAACAGTTGACCTGTGTTCATCACGTGCGTGTTTCTCCAGTGTTTACTACTAAAGTGATTTTTATAAATCTGCTTCAAATACGTCGATGTCCAACAATAAGAGGAAAACTAGATTTGTTGGAGACATCGTTCTGTATTAAATAAGACCATAATTAAAAAAAACCTAAATACAAAGTTTCATCAAGACCAAAAAAAAAAAAAACAGATACAAAAACTAAAAAGAAATTGTTCGAATTCTTTTACATGCATTTTTTAAAATGATTTTATTGTATATAACTCTTCTAATGACCCACCAGTTTTTACACAGCAGTTTTATTTCAACAACTGCTGCAGGGGAAAAAACAGAGCTTAGTACGCACCAAAAGGCACTTGCGAGATATTTTAAATAATCTCATTTATATCTGTTTCATATTTGAGGACCCGAAACCAATTTATTTATTTTTTTTTGGCTCCTGGTTTTAGGCTCCCCTATCGTCCCCTTAAAGAAAAAGAAAAACTTATTTTCGGGGGTAGGGTTTGGGGTGGAGGGAGTGGGGCTGAAAAATTTGAACGAATTTGTTTCATTGGCAACGCGTCTACGTGCCTAGTTTCAGCTCGATTTGCTGACGGAAAGTGGGTCAATTAGCCGTCCGTAGACTCTTCCATAAGCACGCTAAAGAGACGTTGATATAAAGAAATTAAAAATGGAGGTTATTGGTTTTCTACCTACGGCTGCACTGTTAACAAACGTTCTCCGTTAAAACGGAAGTTATGCCTCAGATTCCTCGCTACTGATTCCAAAATTGGCACTGCAATGCAATAGCTTAATTAATTAAATTTAAAAAAATACATACAGAGGAATAGGATATGTTAAGTTAGATTTATAGATTTATAGGGAAAAACAAAGAAAAATTAAAGGGACGATACCGGCTAAACACCCATTTCAGCAGACAACAGTAAACAGAAAAACTAAAAAAATCCATCTAGTTTTGTTAGATCGAAATAATGTTCCACAGTGACACAGGTATGCTGTCCACAGTGACACAGGTATGCTGTCCACAGTGACACAGGTATGCTGTCCACAGTGACACAGGTATGCTGTCCACAGTGACACAGGTATGCTGTCCACAGTGACACAGGTATGCTGTCCACAGTGACACAGGTATGCTGTCCACAGTGACACAGGTATGCTGTCCACAGTGACACAGGTATGCTGTCCACAGTGACACAGGTATGCTGTCCACAGTGACACAGGTATGCTGTCCACAGTGACACAGGTATGCATGGAATTCTAATGCAGAATCATTTCACCACAAACCAGAGATTTAGTCATTTACATGTGCAGTTTATAGTAAAATCGTAAACAAAAAAAAATTATCATTCATATTTTTGTAATACGTTAAGCGATAGCACTTAACAAAGTTCGTCACTTCCTAATTCATTGTAGTGGGATTTTCTACTATAGAACCTCTAAATTGGAAAATCGTGATCACTTTTCTACGTGCATTTGATACTTCTATTTATATATGTCGAACAATCAAATATTTGCACACTTCATTAATTCTCCCATCGCTCGTATGTTTCCCCCGCACACTCGCCCAAATGATATTTACTTACAAGTCCCATAATGGTGCCCACGTTCAGCTTGGCAGTTACATTCGTTGGACGGCTGTAATCTAGACATGGTCTCACCGACGTCGTGTAGTTGTCAAACAGGGCGCTGTGGAGTAATTTCCGATCTTTGGCTCCACCAAGGGCCAAGGCTGTGACATAAATAATACGTAGCGTTAATGATGGAGCTAAATGTTCACGAAGAGAGATGTTCCTAGAGACAGATTGGTCTGTGATGTTTCCCATAGACAAACTGGTCAGAAATGTTCCCATAGACAGACTAGTCAGTGATGTTCCCATCGACAGACTGGTCAGAAATGTTCCCATAGACAGATTGGTCAGATATGTTCCCATAGACAGACTGGTCAGAAATGTTCACATCGACAGACTGGTCAGAAATGTTCCCATAGACAGACTAGACAGTGATGTTCCCATAGACAGACTAGTCAGAAATGTTCCTTAAGTCAGAGGGGTCAGAGATGTTTCCATAGACAGGCTGGTCAATGCTGTACCCATAGACAGACTGTTCTAAGATATCCCGCTGAAAATAAAAGGAGAATAATCACTATGTGATAGTTTTGTGAGATATATACCCAGAGAGATGATAGGTTAGTGAAATTTAAATACAGACAGATAATTATTTGGGGAGATATATCTCTGGCAGATGACAGTTTGCTGAGATATCTGCAGGAAAAAGTTCGTTTGTGAGATTTATCCCAGCCAGATGATATGCTGGTGAGATATAAACACAGAGAAAAATGATGCTTGTTGAGATAATTCCCAGACAGAAGATATGCCGTTGACAATTATCCCAAGGAAAAGAAGATAGGTTGTGAAATTTATCCTCTGCCAGGCGACATGTTGGTGATATATATCACATGTACAGGATAGATTTGTTAGAAATATCCAACGCAGAAAATAGGTTGGTGAGATATATCCATTACAGATGATAGTTTGGTGAGATATATCCATTACAGATGATAGTTTGGTGAGATATAACCATTACAGATGATAGTTTGGTGAGATATAACCATTACAGATGATAGTTTGGTGAGATATAACCATTACAGATGATAGTTTGGTGAGATATAACAATTACAGATGATAGTTTGGTGAGATATAACCATTACAGATGATAGTTTGGTGAGATATAACCCAGGCAGAAGATAGTTTGGGGAGGTATAATTCCATACCGTTTGTAGAATGTAAAAAAAAATATCAATAAATCAAAGAATGTAAAGATTTGTTGTATTGCAATATAAAAAGCTAACTATAGCATGTCCAACAAAGTAGGCCCCATTCTTCCCATATAATAAAACTACTTGACAAAGCATGAATTTAAAAAAGTGCACTTTATAAGAATCCCAAAAAACACACCCCATTGGGACGACCCTGAACTATTATTAACATTCTAATGTTCCAACCCCTTATGTCTTGACAATTGTTTCGTAAAACACAAGAAAATATTACACACCAAAGGCACTTCTTTTAGTGCGGCTATCGGGAATGTTATATGGCGCGCCAGTGAGCGCACCATTGCACCATAATTTCTTCCATAACTATGAATTATAATTATACTAGAATAAATGAACCAATGTAATCGGGATAATAATGGTAGGTCCTTTTGCGATAATTTCTAACTGCTATTGCAAAAACTCATCCCAAGTCATAACTTTTAAAATGTAATGATATTGTGGAGAGTTCGCTGACCACCCAAGCTTGTGGAGAGTCGGACCGCGCCTGACGTAATCCGTCTGACCACCCAAGCTTGTGGAGAGTGGGACCACGCACGAGCGCCGGACCACGACGGCGCCTGACGTAATCCGTCTGACCGAAGGATCAAGCTTGTGGAGCACGACGGACCCAAGGATCAAACGCCTGACCAATTACGGCCGTCTGACACCCAGACACGACCATCCATCTGACCAGGGCATTTACCTGGGACGTCTAGACCGACAATTGAGAAAAAGGAGGCGGGGTATAATCTGGACTGGGAGAGGAACTATGGGACGGGGTATAAATAGGGAAGAAGGCGGACGGACTAGGTTCTGGAGAGCAGGGAGAAGTGAGAGTTGGAAGATGAGTGATAGTGTAAGCAAGTGACAGATCAAATAAAGAACACGAGTTTAATGATCCAATGTATCACCGGAGTTGTTTACTTATTGAGTACCAGATTTAGATGAAGTGTGTCAGATAGTAAGCAAGGTCCCTTACAATATTTACGTTTCTAACATCATCAAGTTTTGAGAAGTGTTTATCTGCTCTATATTATACGCGTACCCTACACCCTTTCACGCTCCTAAACTACTTTTCCCCATCTAAACATGACCTTACATTACCCAGTCTAAATGAACACTAATTATATCACTCTTGTCACTAAAGAAGTTAATTTAGGGACAATTACAACGCTAGAGAAATACTTTAGATTGACCCCTTTTCGTGCCCTTGAATTACAACATTTTTTCTTAAAATTTTTTAAAAACCTAATCTTAAATTTACACAAAAAACTATTTATATAATATAAACACATTTTATATTACAGTAATTCGATACATATTGATATATCTTCATCAAAAATTTAAACACATTTTCGCCTTTTTAAAAAACTATACATTATCAGAAAATCGTAAAACAAAGAATTCTTTTATCTAAGAAGAATCTCGCAACTGTTTTTCACGCCTAACATATTTGCATGTCTTTAAACAATTAAATCGTTAATGTCTTAAAAATACATACCTCTTTACTTTTGCAAAGTAACAACACAAATATTTTCATTAAAAAAAATGAAAATATTAACCCATCTCCATTTGTCAAAATTTAATTTTCAAGTGCGTAAAATGATTGGGTTTTGATATTCATGGATATACCTATATAAATGTACCAAAGATTTGTTAACTCCATTGATTTTCTTAATTGGTAAACATATGTTTATTTGTAAAAAGAGAATTTAAAATATCTTTTTTCACAAATATAATACCATAGGATTTAATATATTGTCATCCACGTAAAAATGTACACATCCTATTACCTTATTACCTACCTCCGATATGCATGTAACCAAGAAGCTTAATTATTTATCAAATTCATTGTTTTATTTTAAGATGTATCTTGTGCTGCCTGGGGCAAAGTGACCAACCCTTCCCCCACACAGGTTTCAATAAATTTAGAAAATCTTCCACCGGATTATAGTCCCTTCCATACCCAAACTAACATATTTTGCACATCATATGGTTGGTTCTTATTGGTATGAGGTATACGTGGATTAGTGAATGCTATTTAGCTATGGAGTTGCCCTGCACTGATTGATTTAAATCGCATTTTCTTATTATAATTATATTTAAAGGTTCGTTTGTATTACGTTATAACGTAACGAAATTATAAAAGTATATTTTTGGAATAATAAGAGGCAAAACTTTTTCAATGTAAAAATATACAAAGCAAAAATGCGTGTGTGTTTTTATTAACAATTTAAAAAGCAATCAATTGTATTTATTAATTTTACTTTTAAGAAGGGAAAATACTTAATCAGTTTTGTCACGCGTGGTTATTAAATTTAAAGAAACCTAAGAGTTTTGGCGAAATAGGCTATTGGCGCTATGACGTCATTTGCGTAATTATTTAGAACAAATTAATTTTAATTTTTTTCGCAACATTAACAATGCACTAAAACACGCACTAAAAACGACTGATGCTTGGGTTTTCCCGATAAATGTGATTACGGTGTAAATCTTTGATCATGATTTTTATATTTTTTTTATATTTTTTAATAGCTTTTAAAAACATATACAATCCTTAAAATATTCCTTAGTTGATACTTTCAATGTATTTGTCATTTATTATAACAAAACTTTAACTTTTAATTAAAAAAAGCGGATTTAAAATATTTTTTGCCTATCTAAATGTGTTCGATTTCCGTAAAATAATAGAAAATAATTATGATTGTTTTGAGGACTCCGAATGTACTAAAATCATATAGGCTCTTTTATGTCACTGTAGCTCATTCTTAAATATTTTAATTGATACTAAGTAGACTGTTTTAAAGGTCTCTTCATGGAAACTTCTAAAACCCCCTTCACCCCTGGATTGATTGGATAAAAAATTTTTAGACAAAAATAGACAAAATATTTATTAAAGTAAAGAGAAAATAAAGAGAAAGTAACTAAGCTGATGTCCTGTCCGTTCGTACAACATACAAATACGCTACAGTAAATTAAAACTATATTAAAACATTACAAACATTTTTTTGCCCCCCCCCCTGGAAAGTTAATAGATTTTTTGGCCCCCCCCCCCTAGAAAGTTTTCTGCGGGCGCCCAAGCTCTTCACAAACTTCTTTCAAATCTTTTCAACAATTTTGCCAAAGTTCTATTAGTCAATGCTTCTTAAAGGGTTAGCAACGTTAATTTTACATCGATGAAATCTATTGATACTAGCTGAAGTACCCGTGCTACCCTCCGGGAGAGGTGAGTATTTTTAATAAAATCACGGCTTAATTATTGGGCGAAAACTTATTAGTGTAAATTTTTTTAGTTCTTTCTTTAAATTGCCGTTTTGGTTCGTTACTGAAACCTTTACCTTGACTTGCTGAAAGGTCTTTGTTTTTTTTGAAAATGTAACATAAGTTGTCCATAACTGAATACTGGAGATGGTAATTAAATATAAAATAATTTCAATGTTTGCCCTTGGCTTATGATGGGCACAGCAAATGCCAGTCTAAATGAAAGAAAAGGTCAGTCTAACTAGGTGCAATAGTAAGTCTTGGAATAAATACACTGATACCTTAAAAATAGCCAGTCAGGATTTTAAAGTTAATGATGTTAGACATCGCTTTCGTGACGACCATTCTGGGTCCCATTGCAAAGACCCTTTCTTGTTTGAGTCGAGTTTTCCTAGTAAAATTACTACTGCAACATCTTTTAAGTTAAGTCTATGAGGAGGAAACAACCAGGTGTTAAGCTGTTCAAAAACTCCATTGTATAGTTAGCTTCCTTCTCGACATTTGCACTGCGTCGTTGAATACTATCTTTGCTGATTTTTCATTTCAATTCAGATTGAACTCGTCTAACAACGTTTCGTTAAGGTCAAACGAGTCAAGTGTTTTCTTACAGAATTGCGCGGTTAGCAATGCTGTCATCTCTCGATTGTATGACCCCAGGAAAGACAGCACCAACAATACATCCATTGTCAATGCAGACTGGAGGAAGTTTAAAGATACCTCCCTCTAATCAAGGCTCTTGGAGTTTTTTTTAATTCCCAAGTTTTAAAAGCCAATCGAAACAGCCTCGTTGTTCTGATGGGACATTGTCCTTTACTGGCACGCGAATCTTGATATAAATTTAGGACTTAAATATTTTCTCAATACTTACTACCCTTTATGCATGAAGAAAGTAATTTAGTTCTAATCCCATGTAAAACAACAGGGATAATTTGTCTTAAATCTCCTCCGAAAAGAATGACCGCACCTCAAAACGATTTTTCAGAAGGTGCGTTAGGACATTCAGCTAAGAGTTATAATTGACTTTGTGTGCCATCTCCATCAACCCCTTGCGCTGGGACTATTGAAAATTCGTCCCATATCTAAACGTTGGTCTTTTTGAGAACATTGCAGCATGTTGTTTTCTTTATATTAATGGGGAGCTGGAAACGACTGTGGGAAGTTCTGCCTCACACAAGCGAAGTTGCAGCTATGCCTATACATGTACATATTACACATTACAATTTGGAACGCCCTTCCTGTCGATCTCAGAAACAGCCAGACACTGGAGTCCTTTAAAACCGATTTAAAGATACCTCTACTTCGCAAACACCTTCTGGAAGGATTGTCTACCTTATTTTCCAGTTAATGCATAATGGCTGTTTATTTTACGGTTGAAAGACTTTGCCATTGTATGCTTGTAATTAGTTTTTGTAGTTTTGCGTTTTTTTTTTAAAATGTGGTAAATTATAGATTTGTTGACTTTGTACCGCGCTTCGAGCCTTTGGGGATGAAGCGTGTTTTTGAGATGAACTTTATTATTATTATTACTGTGCTGTAAAGCAAAGGTTTTACCACTTTCATCAGGACCATCAATAACGAATAGACGTTTAGTTAGGTTAGTTAGGAGTTTTCCAATGCTTCCCTGATTTTGTCGAAACGGTTCTTTGCCGTAAGTTGAGCATTTGAAACTTTTTAAAAAAAACATATATATATAGTCAGTTCTACCGAGGCATATGTAAAAGCCTTTTACATTGTTTTCATTTCTCGACCTTTCCACAAAATTCTATTAGAACAGACGATTAATTTTTAGTTGGTAGTAAACAAGGCCAAGATCAAAGGGAATAAGCCATGCGAAATACTAACGCAACGTCATTTAGGTTTCACAGCACTGGGAAATAGGAAGTAAACATGTCGTCTACATAACACAGAGCAAGAGCATTTTTTTTTTTTTCAATTTATGATCAAGCCTGAATCCCCATACGGGAAAAGCAAAGGTAGCACATTGGGTCACATAGTCTACTCAGAATGGATCTATTTTGTAAATATTGATTTTTTTTCTTGGGATGGAGCATCTACACTATGTAAAACGGCAGCCATATCTTCTCTGGCTGTGGCAACGTCTAACCTTCCGGGTTGCACATTATTTACCCCTTCTCTCAAGAATATCCTATTACATTAAAATGGTGTTCGGTTTTCCCGATTTTCCTTTAAAATTTTGTCTTGTACAAATTTGAGCATCCCACGTCTTTAAACGTCACCAATAAGAACTACATAGAAACAGCTACGCAAATAATCTCGACACCAAATACGCTCACTAACAAATAGCTATACCAATGACGGACACTCTACCTACGGTGTTATATTATGGATACAAATAAGTCAAGGTTTAACCGGTTGAGCTGGAATGGAAACATATTAAAATGTTGAACTTGAGCTAATCTAATTCTTTCATACTTCCAATGAAATGTTTTGTTTGAATTCAGTGTGACACCGAATTGATGTCTAATTCTGCTTGCAACACATGGTTTTATAGCCACACAAAGCTTGCTAGCAACACATGGCTTTCAGCTACACATGTCTTAGTACGATGACTGTACTAGTCACACATGACGTACTACAATGACTCTACTAGCCACACAAGACTTACTACGATGACTCTACTAGCCACACATGACGTACTACGACGACGCTACTAGCTACACATGACGTACTACGATGAAGCTACTAGCCACACATGACGTACTACGACGACGCTACTAGCAACACATGAGTTACTACGACAACTCTACTAGTCACACAAGACTTACTTCGACTACGCTACTAGCCACAAATGACATACTTCGATGACTCTACTAGCTACACATGACTTACTACGATTACTTTTCCAGCCACACAAAACTTACTAAGACGATGCTACTAACCACACAAGACTTGCTACGACGACGCTACTAGCCACCAATGACCTAATACGACGACGCTACTAGCCACACATAGCTTAACTACGATGACTTTTCTAACCACACATGACCTACTACGACGAAGCTACTAGCCACACATGACCTACTACGACGACGCTACTAGCCACACATGACCTACTACGACGACGCTCTTAGCCACACATGACCTACTACGACGACGCTCTTAGCCACACATGACCTACTACGACGACGCTACTAGCCACACATGACCTACTACGACGACGCTACTAGCCACACATGAATATGATATTAACATAATGAACATTGTAGAACATGTACATTTTATTTAGTTCAACAAACACTCACCCCCAGAAACAGTCAGCAGAAGAACAGCTGCTGTCAGCATCCCTGGATCCAACATATTTCTTTATCCAACAATTTTTTAGTGATGAATTAAGAAGCACGTCCCACAATGAGCACGCTACACTGAATGAATATCTCACGGTGCTTGCAACGAGTCTTAAGTTTTGAACTGCAATCTAAATGGATCGTTTTGTAGATAAATCAATGATTCGAATCGCCAAATTCACCACCAATCTATATATTCATAACCCCAACCGATACATTATATGTAAATAGACTTGTCCATAAGCTGACACACGCTGCAAGGATCCGGTACACATGAGAAAAACCGAACATTGCAAGACTCTACACGCTCACACTCAATACGTTAAAACACACACACACACCCTGGAAAAGCCCAAATAGTTTGAGTGTTATTGAAACGTTTCTGGGGCTGACAAGTCATTCATTCTACGGCGGCCTTATCAGCCAGTCACGCAATGTTCATTGAAGCGGATTAACCAAGCATGCACGATCCGAATGGTTATGCTCAACCGAAGTGTGAAGAAATACAAAACTTTATCTTTATGGCTAACATGTTAGAAAAATCAAAACGAAATTTGTTGACTTTTTTCTCCCTGCATCCTAACGGATTACGTTCCTAAAAACTTTTCTGGATGTTATTCCACAACAGTGTTAATATTATTCCAGAACATAACTAATCTAAAACATATTGAAGTAATGTTGATGATAGGGAACATGTAGACACGTTTGCTTCTTATTTAGCCATTGATGCAACACTGTTCAATGAATGCGTCATTGAAAGAGAAACGGGGTTGTAAACCAAGGATTGGCGTTTGAATGAGGTCACTCTGATCCCAGTGTTTGTATTTCGCCACACAGACCAGGTGACGAAGGGTTGGTCTCAATCACCCAGAAATAAATGTCGATAATACCAGAAAAAGCACCTCTTTTTATCAAATTTTATATCGTTTTCCATTTAGCTACTTGGAGATGTAGAGCTACCATTTTTCTAGTTTAAATAACATCAAACCATGGACTACACTTATTCAGAGTTGTCTACACTTATTCAGACTTGTCTTCACTTATTCAGACTTGTCAACACTTATTCAGAGTTGTCTACAGCCATTCAGAGTTGTCTACATTAATTTAGAGTTGTCTATACTTATTTGGAGTTGTCTAAACTTATTTAGAGTCGTCTACGCTTTTTCAGAGTTGTCCACAGTTATTCAGAGTTGTCTACACTTATTCAGATTTGTCTACACTAATTCACAGTTGTCTACACTAATTCAGGGTTGTCTACACTTATTCAGAGCTGTCTACCCTTATGCAGAGTAGTCTACACTGATTCAGAGTCGTCTGCCCTATCTCAGAGCAAAAGGGGCGGACCGAGTGTGTGGCATATTGAAAAGGTTCATACCGACGGCGTGGCAAGCAAATTAGCAAGTATTAAAAATAAATCTGATTGTTCAAAAAAGTAATTTTCTTATGAGAGGGTTAGATGTTTTGTTTGAATTAACTACCACTCATCTATCTGCTTACTTTGCTTTAGACAGCTGACTTTTATATTTACACTGACCAGTTCTGACGCGAAAGGTCAGATTGTTAAGCTAAGCGTAGGTTGTATGAATATGTTGTTCTGGTATACTCGAGTCTTTATGTATCATTTCGATGATCCATACAAATATTATCTGTACAGAATCTATGTGAAACTTGATTTGAAGTAGTGTTTCGAATCATGGTTATTAAGGAACACATTTTTAAATCCTGACATGGGCGAATTTGAGTCACATGTCCTCTTATGCCTGAGGTCAGTGGCGTTTCCTGTTCCTCCTCCTCTCTCTCTCTCTCTCCGTCCGCCCCCCCCCCCACGTAAGTGTCTTGATGATATTTGCCATGACGAATAAATCTAAATGACTTAATGACCTTGGAATAATGCATGACTCATTTAGACCACACCAGGAATTAGGACGTGGTCGAAATGTCTGAATAAGTCTAATTTGAAGAATTTGGTATGGATATTGTATGTTTGAGTAGATGGATATTATATGTTTCAGTAGATGCATATTATTAGTTTAAATAGATGGATATAATATATTTGAGTACATGGATATTATATTTTCAGTAGATAAATATTATATCCTCAAGTGGATGGATATTTTATGTTCAAGTAGATGGATATTATATGTTCGATTACGGGGATATTTTATGTTCGAGTAGATGAATATTATATGTTTCAGTAGATACATATTATTAGTTTGAATAGATGGGTATTATATGTTTGAATAGATGGATATTATATTTTTGGGTAGATATATATTATATGTTTGAGCAGATGGATATTATATGTTTGAGTAGATGGATATTGTATGTTTGAGTAATTGGCTATCATATGTTTAAGTAGAAGGATATCATTAGTTTGAGTAGATGGATATTATACTTCCGAGTAGATCGATGTAATACGTTTGAGTAAATGATATTAAATGTTTGAGTGGATGGATATAATATATTTGAGTTTATGGATATGATATGTTGGAGTGGATGGATATACTATGTTTCAGTGGATGAATATTATATGTTTGAATGCATTATCCAAATTTCCAAATAAATAATAAAGCAAATATTTTATTAAAATAGATTTCATATCTTACTAGACTGACTTCTACGCGCGTGTTCCTGTATTTGGGATTCCTGATTTTTATCCCAAACATGCTCCTGACTTTGGGAACAATCTAGAGAGTTTCCTCATCTTTGGTTTGAAGACTTCATTTCTACTCGCACTTCCATTTATGAAGCGTAATTTTTAGTTCATAAGATCAAGTCCTTTAGCGTCAGTTCACACGATCAAGTTCCTTTAGCGTCAAATCACACGATCAAGTTCCTTTAGCGTCAAATCAAACGATCAAGTTCCTTTAGCGTCAAATCACACGATCAAGTTCCTTTAGCGTCAAATCACACGATCAAGTTCCTTTAGCGTCAAATCACACGATCAAGTTCCTTTAGCGTCAGTTCACACGATCAAGTTCCTTTAGCGTCAAATCACACGATCAAGTTCCTTTAGCGTCAGTTCACACGATCAAGTTCCTTTAGCGTCAGTTCACACGATCAAGTTCCTTTAGCGTTAGTTCACACGATCAAGTTCCTTTAGCGTCAGTTCACACGATCAAGTTCCTTTAGCGTCAGTTCACACGATCAAGTTCCTTTAGCGTCAGTTCACACGATCAAGTTCCTTTAGCGTCAGTTCACACGATCAAGTTCCTTTAGCGTCAGTTCACACGATCAAGTTCCTTTTTGCGTCAGTGATATGCGACATTTAAAAAGATTGAGTCGATCTCGTGCAGTGTTCACCTGGCGAACGGTGAGACAAGAATTCTGGGTCGGCGGAGGCGTGTTGACACTTCAGCTCCAATCATCATGGTTGACCGCCTCTGCTTCGTTGAGTGAAGAGGTGCGTGGGCGAGCTCAGATCTACTTTTTAGTTTTTGACTATTTCAAGAGTTAAGTCACTTAAACCAGGGGTTAGTGTAATTAATTCTACTGGATATTTTAAAGTTTGGAATTTTAATTGAAAAAATTGGAAAATAATTGTTGAAATTAGTGTTTAAAAAAAGACGTTTCTCAAATACGTGTTTGCACGCATAGAAAGTAGAAAATAATTCAACATTTCTTAAAATTCATTTGGCAACAAGATGTGCAGAAGATATTTTCAAAAATAAATAAAACTAAAACATATTAAGCTCGTCTACATTCAGTGCTGAAAAATGTAAAAGAATGTGTTCTCATCGGCAACGAGTCTATGTGCGAAGTTTTAGATGGATAGGTTGGCGGGAAGTGTGTGAACTAGTCTTCTGGTGATTCTGCCCTAAACACACAACAGCGAAGTTAATATAAAGGAATAAAGAAAAAAAAGCTGCCCACGATATTTTGTTTACTACTGCAATCAAAGGAATCCAAATGGGAATTATTCAATCGAGCATTCAATCCAGCATTCAATCCAGCATTCAATCCAGCATTCAATCCAGCATTCAATCTAGCATTCAATCCAGCATTCAATCCAGCATTCAATCCAGCATTCAATCCAGCATTCAATCCAGCATTCAATCCAGCATTCAATCCAGCATTCAATCCAGTTGACAATCGGTATAGGACTTGAAAGTAGTACAGGCAACAGGTCGGTGTTTGAAATGGTCATGGTCGACAGCCGACAGACGAACTATTATACTTAAAGGAAAACTGTTGAAACTTGTTACGTAAAATAATTGACAAATACAGACAACATACACCAGAACCTTGTCATCGGAGTGAAAGTTTGGAATGTTTAATACATCTGATTACATCAAACCACAGATCATGGTGAATTTTTAATACATCTGATTACATCAATCCACAGAATACGGTGATTGTTCAATGTGCAATTTCAACGACCACACTAATTTGACAGTATTTAAATTTCTCACTAAGCCATAGTTATGATGCCTAATACGACAGTGATGATGGTCAACAAAGCTATGATGTTAAGAGCAAAAAAACAAGTATTCAGTTTCTCAGCCCTCGTCCACTTCCGAGGGGTTAGCATATCTCTGGACGGCTGATCGCTGCTCACAGTTGATTCCCTATCCTGTTCACCTTGACCACCCAAGTGGTCACTTTCGTCCAGCTGAGCGGTCGATCCAGGTAAATTTTTTACGTTATCTTTCCGTGGAGAATAAATTGACGCTTTAATATTTTTAGCACTCCCTGGAGGAGAAGACTCCACGACGACGGAATCTGCCGCAGCCAGCCTGTGATCTCGTCTGTGTACAACGATGACCACAGCATTGCCGAACACGGACAGGAAGGACAAGATGAGCAACGTGTCCACGTACACAACTGGGGGATCGAAATGGCTTGTGATATATCAAGACAGGTAGAGCATTCAAGCGTTTATTTATATGATTGTCTTTATCTTCAACATAGAACTGTCGATATGATTCATGACATAGTTTAGCACAAAGCTCAACTGAACTTTGGGTTATAGTAGGGTTACAGTAGGGTCACAGTAGAGTTACAGTAGAGTCACATTAGGGTTACAGTAGGGTCAAAGTAGGGTTACAGTAGGTATATTTATATTTGCCCAAAAGATGAACACAAGCGTTTAATGGAAATGAGATAAGTGTAGGAAAAATTTTTAAAAAAAAAAAAAACCCATCTGATTCTTAAATTTTAAGTTTCATTTTATATCAAGAGTTTGCTAATAAGAAAATTTAAGTTTTTGAAACGA